TGTAAAAATTGTTACACACTGGACAACAAATATTAAATTCATATAATTTCTTAGAATATCATATATATGAGAAATGCAAAATACATATATTAGAGATAATATTAGTATTAATCTAAGAAATCTACGAAAGAACGGAATTAGGGCTTAGCTGTAAGGAGACTTCACTAAACCCATTTCACAGTTCGAATACTCGTAGACACGTCGCCCAAATAATGGATGAAACACCAGTAGGGAATGTCGTGTGTAGAGGAAGAGTATCTCAGCTTGTCCTCACCAACACGCTGCAATCACAGAAATGGTATAATATTTGACTAGGCTAGAAATTTACTCTACTATTTACTGAGTACTTGAGAATAACGTGGAATGAAACTAACGTTGGTTTTGTGGTCGGCAGATGACTTAACGGTGAGCTACTGACAGTAATGATTTAAGTAAAGTGCACTTCAACCCAAAAAAATACTTAACATAGGTTTGTTGAAACATTTATGCTCGCTGATATCTCGTCTGATAGTCCCTGACGTTCACTGCTGTCGAAGGTCAAATTCTGGGACACAGTTATCTTCTCAGACGCGTAACTAGACAGTAATTATCACTGTACGACCACATGTTGGTAACTACAATGGCTGCCGCCTGCAGACGTGCGTGTGCTCGTGGCGGAGTCGTGTCGTAGAGAGCCGCCTCCTTCATCCCCTGACGCTCGGACACGCATGCGCAGAGACGCCCATAGCGATCTCGAGCTTAAACTAATTTGATTTACTAGTAATTATTTAGGGAAATAAGGGAGTGCGACCTGTACTATTCTCACGAATAAATATATTGAATAATAATACCTCTTCTCGCAAGGCAATAGATTTAATTAATATTGCACAAATTAAACGAGAAGGGTCGACATGTATTTAATTTACATCACAGTAATTTTTACTGTAATAATTAATTTGGTGGAATAGTCGAGTCCAGTACGCATAAGTACGCGAAATGATTATTTCTTTCATAATGAATAATATTTTTAGAAATAAAGGACAATTAACTGAACTCTACAAATTCCCAACAACGTAGAAGATCTCATATTTCAGCCTAATATCTGACGCGCGGCGCCATGATGGCTGGGAAGAGTCTGGCAAAATTATGACTTATTGTAGAAACACCAACGATATTAATTCTACGTGTTAGTGTTATTGGTAAAAGTTAGTATTAGGAGTTAAGGGAGAATAAATTGTTGGTTATTTCCAACATCAGTCACTGGTAGTCTACCATCACTGTCAGTCACTGGTAGTCTACCATCACTGTCAGTCACTGGTAGTCTATCATCACTGTCAGTCACTGGTAGTCTACCATCACTGTCAGTCACTGGTAGTCTATCATCACTGTCAGTCACTGGTAGTCTACCATCAATACCACACAGAGTCTACCATCAATACCACACAGAGTCTACCATCAATACCACACACAGTCTACCATCAATACCACACAGAGTCTACCATCAATACCACACACAGTCTACCATCAATACCACACAGAGTCTACCATCAATACCACACACAGTCTACCATCAATACCACACAGAGTCTACCATCAATACCACACACAGTCTACCATCAATACCACACAGAGTCTACCATCAATACCACACAGAGTTTACCATCAATACCACACAGAGTCTACCATCAATACCACACACAGTCTACCATCAATACCACACAGAGGCTATCCTCAATACCACACAGAGGCTATCCTCAATACCACACACAGTCTACCATCAATACCACACACATTCTACCATCAATACCACTCAGAGGCTATCCTCAATACCACACACAGTCTACCATCAATACCACACACAGTTTACCATCAATACCACACAGAGTCTACCATCAATACCACACAGAGTCTACCATCAATACCACACAGAGTCTACCATCAACACCACACAGTCTACCATCAATACCACACACAGTCTATCATCAATACCACACACAGTCTACCATCAATACCACACACAGTCTACCATCAATACCACACACAGTCTACCATCAATACCACACACAGTCTACCATCAATACCACACACAGTCTACCATCAATACCACACACAGTCTATCATCAATACCACACACAGTCTACCATCAATACCACACACAGTCTACCATCAATACCACACACAGTCTACCATCAATACCACTCAGAGGCTATCCTCACTACCACTCACAAACTAATATCAATACCACTCAGAGGCGGCCTACCATCTATAACATCAATAATTTAAGGGTGAATATCTGAATGGTTCAAGATGTATGTCTTAGGCTTAAATTTATAACATAAATAAAATGTTGTATACGTAAATAAATGCCGGGTCATTAAAATGACCCGGCATTTCCTCGGTTAAATGACTTTCCTTCCGAGGAAAATTTAAGATTATGGAGCTGCCTGAAACGCTTTTGGTGCTAATGGCTTTTCGAGAATGTAAGAATTCTTGATATTTATTTATAAATAAAATAAAATAGAAAAGAAAGGTCACCTCCTCAGCTTCTTTCCCAGCACTGCCATCTTCCCAATACCACATAAATGGAATTCCTCTCACTGCATCTTGCTATGCACCGCAGAAAGGCGATTGAGAGGATGTACCCGATCAGCGTGACGGTAGGCGAGCACGACCTGCTGGACCCGAGCGAGAGCCCCAGCCAGACCCTGGGGGTGGCGTACGCGCTCTTCCACGCTGACTTCGGCAAGGAGGCGCAGTTTGACAACGATGTCGCCGTGTTGGTGTTATCGGCGGCCTTAGACCCCAGGCTGAACCTCATGCCTGCGTGCCTGCCTAGTCCAGGTAATTGTGTACTGCTTGATTGGTCTGTATTCCTGCAGGTGAGCTAGAGTGTAATGTGTTCTGTATCTGAGCCATGGAGATATTCTGTTTGAAATCTGATGAAGCGCAATACATGGTGTGTGCTCTCATGTTTTGTTTCTCTAGTGAGAGAGGGAGAGATAAGAGAGACGATATAGGAAAAAGAGAGAGAGTTAGAGCAGAGAGAGAGAGAGAGAGAGAGAGGGGGAGAGAGAGAGAGAGAGAGAGAGAGAGAGAGAGAGAGAGAGAGAGAGAGAGAGAGAGAGAGAGAGAGAGAGAGAGAGAGAGAGAGAGAGAGAGAGAGAGGAGAGAGAGAGAGAGAGGGAGAGAGAGAGAGAGAGAGAGAGAGAGAGAGAGAGAGAGAGAGAGAGAGAGAGAGAGAGAGAGAGAGAGAGAGAGAGAGAGAGAGAGAGAGAGAGAGAGAGAGAGAGAGAGAGAGAGATAGAGAGAGAGGTAGGTTTCAGATAAGCTGATATAGAATGAAAGAAAGACAGATTGAATCTTATAAAAAATCAGTATTTCAAAAACTCATCAATCTTTTAATTTAAAAAAAAAATTGACAGTAGTTGCTATAATAGTACAAAAGTATTAGTAGTATCAGTAATAGTTACAAAATTAGTATCTATAAATTGGTAGCAGTAATAGCAGCACCTTTTATTACTGTATTATCTCCTATTACCATAATCCCCCACCTTTACCTGTTATTTCACATTGATCTTTGATCCAGACTACAGTGTATCGGGTTCAGTGGTGACGGTGGTGGGGTGGGGCGCCACTCACGAGGGCGGCTTCTCCAGTAACGTCCTGCGGGAGGCCCATATACCCGTCCTACAGGAGAGTACCTGCCAGACGTCCTATCCTGGATCCTTCCTGCCAGAGAAGATGATCTGTGCTGGGTATCTCGTGGGCAGAACCGACACCTGTCAGGTAGGTCTCCTTGCAGAAGTGTTTAGTGTCAAGCTGGCTGACAGTCTAAGCTGCTTTTCGAGTCGTGCTTGTCTGAAGTTGTAGAAAATTACTGTATGTATTATTTGTGTATATATATATATACATATATATATGTATATATATATATATATATATATATATATATATATATATATATATATATATATATATATATATATATGCCTATACTTGCTTAAACCACAAGTGAAGATTAACAATCTTTGGACAACACCCACCAGTGGGCCTCGAACCCAGAAAGCACAACTACCTTCCAGTAGCTGCCATAACTAGTACGCCTTAACCCACTACACCATCAGACCCTACAAAAGAAGTAGAGACTTCGAGATATATATACACCTCAAATATCTCCACTTCCCGAGGGCACTAGACAAGTGAGAGGTTACTCTGCGTTTTTCATCAAGCCACTGTTAATGTTAGAGAACTCGTGTCCATGCTATAAGCCTATACTTACATAAACCACAAGTGAAGATTAACAATCTTTGGACAACACCCACCAGTGGGCCTCGAACCCAGAAAGCACAACTACCTTCCAGTAGCTGCCATATATATATATATATATATATATTCTTGATTATGCCCAAAAGGGTAATATTAATGATTCTAACTCGAATCTTTTCACTATTCCTTATGTTTTTCTTCACTGTCGGGGGAAGTTGAAAAATGAACTCTCCAAAAATTATTTCGCACTTTTATTTTTGTCTGACGCCTAGGGATGTGTTTCGCAAGGTCACTCCTTACATTCTCAAAGACTAATTAACCATGTTGTTGTTGTTGTTTTAGATTTAGATAATCAGCATGAAATGTCCATGTAGCACGGGCTATATCTGTTTCTACTACATATATTTCTCTCTAACACACACACACACACACACACACATCCCTAGGAAAAAACTCGTAGCAGCTATCTAACTCCCAGATACATATATATTGTTAGGTGAACAGCTGCATGAGGGTGAAAGAAAATCTGCCAATTTGGTACCGCCTCGGCGGGGAATCGGACCCGGGCCCTGAGAGCTACAACCCCGAGCGCTGTCCACTCAGCCGCAAGGCCCTGTAGCACGGGCTATAGTGAGCCCGTAATTGAGTTCGGTTATTCGCGAGAACCTTGTTACTGTGATATTTGGGTCACAGTTTTTTATGAGGGGAGGCGCTTGCTCCTTCTCTCCCGTGTCTTTTTACTCATGTAAATGAGTAAAAAGACTTTTTACTCATGTTTTTACTCATGTTTACTCATGTCTTGTTTTAATAGTATTATCTTGGTGGCGGATGTAGGTGGAGAATGTTCACTAGTGAGTCCCACTCCTCAACTGCTTTTCTGATCAATGTAGTTGCTGTGGATTTTGCATCTAATGCAGCTGCTGTCGTTGGGTTAATGTTGAGTTTGATGCGCAGGGCTTCAGCAGCTTCACATTCCAGTAAGTAATGCAATAGTGCCGCCTCTGCTTCTGTTCCACAGATGTGACACTCTATTTGGTTTATTACCTCCCAGCAGCACTTGCAACCAAGTCTGAGTCTGTGTATGGCTACTGCAATGTCTCTGGTCATCTTTTTGTCAGGCTTGAAAGAGTAGTATCCATAGTGGCTTGTTCGTACCATATCGCAGTGGATTTTTCTTCCGCTACTTTGGCTCAGTGGCGACTTTTGATAGTTGGGAATATTTTCTTCATGATTTGCTCCTTAATCTGTGAAAAACTTGGAGGTAATTGAACCTGTACAACAGGTAGAGCAGTGGCAGTTTTGCTAGTGAGTCTGCCTTTTCATTACCATCTATGCCTATGACTTGATTTAGAGTCGGTATGAATGATGACATCATGTAAATTATTCTCAATTGCATAATTTATAGCCTCCTTCAGGGCAATTTTACCATGCTTTTGCACAGGCTTCTATTCTCTTGAGGTACCATCTCAATATTCTCTTGAGATACTATATATTGGTGAGGTACCACCTCACCCACGACGCATGGGTGAGGTGGTACAGAACAAGTGGATGAAACAAGTGGATGAATAGCATAACATAGGGGATATTGATAAGGTATTACATGCATCAACATAAACAGCTTATACTCTTGTGGATGCTTGTCATTAGGCAGGGTCATTAGATCCTGTCTTTGCGTTGGTTCGGTGTCATCAAGTGGGTAGAATGTAATTATGTGTTAACTGGTTGTTGGTTGCTGGTCTTGACTTTTTGATGTGAAGGGCCTTGCTGGTGTCCAGGGGCCAGATTCACGAAAGGACTTACGCAAGCACTTACGAACCTGTACATCTTTTCTCATTCTTTGGCGACTTTGTTTCCAATTATTAATCAGTTAATGAGTTCCGAAGCACCAGGAGGCTGTTTATAACAACAGTTGATTGGGAAGTTTTCATGCTTGTAAACTGTTTAATAAATGTAAACAAAGCCGTCAAAGATTGAGGAAAGATGTACACGTTCGTAAGTATTTGCGTAACTGCTTTCGTGAATCTGGCTCCAGTCTTTTCTTGCCGTTATTCCTGTCGATTATTTCAGTGTTATTTGTTACGATGTCTCTGGTGATGGCTTCGTTGTGTGAGGAGATTATATGCTCCTTGATGGAGCCCTGTTGTTTATGCATTGTTAATCGCCTAGAGAGATGTTATTGTCTTGCCGATATACTAAGATCTTTGGGGCTGACAGTCCCCAAGTGGGCATGTGAAGCCATAAATAACATTGGTCTCTGTTAATACCAACGACATCTTGTTGATCCAGTGGCATCTTAACAAGCAACACTGAAATAATCAACAGGTTTATGCCCGAAACGCTTTGCGTAATAGTGGCTTTAGGCATTGTATGTACTAGCTCTACCTATAAGTCAACCAATCTTTGTAAAAATTTATTGTATGTATGTACCTTACCTAAATAAAATATTATTATTATTATTATAGGTATAATGACAACATCATATTAAACACAGGCCCCCATGCCTATTTGGAAGCAGTCTTTCTTGCAGACGTGTATTGAATACAACCGAAAAGATTTAATCAATGTTTCTAACCCGAATCTTCTTTATATTTCTTATCTTCTTGTTGGCTTTGGAAGTATATTGAAGAAAATAGCTCTTACAAAGTTTATTTTACAAATTTACTGGGCCACAGAGATGAAACACTGCTACAAAGAGTCTCAGTTTGGAGACCAAAATATTCAGTGTTTCATTTGTATTTTTCTGACCTTCTACTTTCTATTTCAGCCACGTTATTGTGACTCTTCGTCTGTGTGTGTGTGTGTAAATATATATATATATAACTATTGCATATAGTCCTGGGGACCATTCAGGCTTGTTCGCAAATGTATATATATATATATATATATATATATATATATATATATATATATATATATATATATATATATATATATATATATATGTCGTACCTAGTAGCCAGAACGCACTTCTCAGCCTACTATGCAAGGCTCGATTTGCCTAATATGCCAAGTTTTCATGAATTAATTGTTTTTCGACTACCTAACCTACCTAACCTAACCTAACCTAACTTTTTCGGCTACCTAACCTAACCTAACCTATAAAGATAGGTTAGGTAACGTTGGTTAGGTTCGGTCATATATCTACATTAATTTTAACTCCAATAAAAAAAAATTGACCTCATACATAATGAAATGGGTAGCTTTATCATTTCATAAGAAAAAAATTTGAGAAAATATATTAATTCAGGAAAACTTGGCTTATTAGGCAAATCGGGCCTTGCATAGTAGGCTGAGAAGTGCGTTCTGGCTACTAGGTACGACATATATATATATATATGTTGTACCTAGTAGCCAGAACGTCGTACTCGGCCTGCTATGCAAGGCCCGATTTGCCTAATAAGCCACGTTTTCCTGAATTAATATATTTTCTCTAATTTTTTTCTTATGAAATGATAAAGCTACCCATTTCATTATGTATGAGGTCTTTTTTTTATTGGAGTTAAAATTAACGTAGATATATGACCGAACCTAACCAACCCTACCTAACCTAACCTAACCTATCTTCATAGGTTAGGTTAGGTTAGGTTGCCGAAAAAGTTAGGTTAGGTTAGGTTAGGTAGGTTAGGTAGTCAAAAAACAATTAATTCATGAAAACTTGGCTTATATAGGCTAATAAGCCAAGTTTTCATGAATTATTATATTTTCTCTATTTTTTTTCTTATGAAATGATAAAGCTACCCATTTCATTACGTATGAGGTCAATTTTTTTTATTGGAGTTAAAATTAACGTAGATATATGACCGAACCTAACCAACCCTACCTAACCTAACCTAACCTATCTTTATAGGTTAGGTTAGGTTAGGTAGCCGAAAAAACATTATTTCATGAAAACTTAGCTTATTAGGCAAATCGGGCCTTGCATAGTAGGCCGAGTACGACGTTCTGGCTACTAGGTACGACATATATATATAAATATATATATATATATATATATATATATATATATATATATATATATATATATATATATATATATATATATATATATATATATATATATATATATATATATATATATATATATATAAATGCGAGTACGGAGGTCTTCGTCGATGTTGCTGTTCCTCCATTGGTTTGTAGCGTGGAGTAGTTGCGTTTTGCTGTCTTTGATCTCATTTTCTGCCTTGAGTATCTTATGTCGAATCAAATCTTGGCGATATTTTACCGTGGAGTCTAGGTTTCTTGCTGCTGGGTCGTGCGCTTTTATATTAGTATATTTTGGTAGCAGTCTTTCTTGTAAACATATGTTGTTGAATATGACCGAAAAGGTAAGATTAATAATTCTAACACGAAACTTCTCAATATTTCTTATGTTTTTCTTCACTGTCAGTGGTAATAAAAATAAAAATTCTCCGAAATTCATTTTTTAATTGTCTGACGCCTGAACGCGTTTTGTAATTCGTATTACATTTTCAAAGACTTAATTTAAACACAAATTCTTCGTATACTCTATTGGATGAGGTGATATGGTACAAAAGTTTTGGGTGAGGTGACTAACACAAGACAACACACGAAACAATGGGTATAAATTGGATAAGTGAACATATGAATGAGAGTAACTGCAGAAGGTCTATTGGCCCATACTTCCTCTTGCTGATTCTATATTGGTTCGGGGTCTTGAAGTAGGTAGAATATAGTTGTGCATTAATTGGCTGTTGATTGCTGGTGTTGACTTTTTGATGTGTAGTGCCTCACAGATGTTATCTGCTTCACAGATAGCCGCCTGCTATCGCCGTATCTATCGATGATTTCTGTGTTGTTTGTTAAGATTTCTCTGGCGATGGTCTGGATGTGAGAAGAGATTATGTGTTCCTTGATGGCTCCCTGTTGCTTATGCATTGTTAGTCGCCTAGAAAGAGATGTTGTTGTCTTGCCTATATACTGAGTTCTTTGCGGCTTACAGTCCCCAAGTGGGCATTTAAAGACAATACCGACGTTGGTCTCCTTCAAAGCGTTCTGCTTTGTGTCTGGCGAGTTTTTCATAAGTAGATTGGCCATTTTTTTGTTTTATATTAAATTATTAATTGTATTTTCTGATTTTTGTCTGTAGGGATGACGTTCCTATCAACAATATCTTTCAGGACCCTTTCCTCCTTTTTACGAGCCATCGAAAAGAAGTTCCTGTAAATAGTCTAATTGATGATACAAGTGTTGTGTTGGTTGACTCTTCAGAAGTTGCATGGCGTTTCTGCCCGAAACGCTTTGCGTAATAGTGGCTTTAGGCATTGTATGTACTAGCTCTTATCTATAAAGCCAAAAAACTTTGTAAAATCTCTTTATGTATGTACCTTTGCCTAAATAAAAATTATTATTATTATTATTATTACCTTTATTTTTATGATGTCTTCAACGAAAGCGTTAGAGAAGCCGTTGTTGACTAGGACCTGCCTTACCCTACAGGGGCCTCGTAGCCTGGTGGATAGCGCGCAGGACTCGTAATTCTGTGGCGCGGGTTCGATTCCCGCACGAGGCAGAAACAAATGGGCAAAGTTTCTTTCACCCTGAATGCCCCTGTTACCTAGCAGTAAAATAGGTACCTGGGTGTTAGTCAGCTGTCACGGGCTGCTTCCTGGGGGTGAAGGCTTGGTCGAGGACCGGGCCGCGGGGACACTAAAGCCCCGAAATCATCTCAAGATAACCTCAAGATAACCCTACAACACTCGTCTTGTACTTGTCCGGGCAGTCACTATTGGCATTGAGGCACATTCCTTTTTTTTTTTTTTTGAGATATATAGAAGAGTTGTTACATTCTTGTAGAGCCACTAGTACGCGTAGCGTTTCGGGCAAGTCCTTAATCCTATGGTCCCTGGAATACGATCCCCGCCGCGAAGAATCGTTTTTTCATCCAAGTACACATTTTACTGTTGCGTTAAACAGAGGCTACAGTTAAGGAATTGCGCCCAGTAAATCCTCCCCGGCCAGGATACGAACCCATGACATAGCGCTCGCGGAACGCCAGGCGAGTGTCTTACCACTACACCACGGAGACTGCAGTGTTTCTTTGGTGTAGACTGCAGTATGGAAGCCTCCGCTCCTTTCCGTGACTGTTACATCCAGAAAGGGATGTAACATCCCTGTAACATCCTGGATTTTTTTTAATTTGAGTTACAACTAACGGAGATAAATGACCGAACCCAACCTACCCAGCCTAACCTAACCTAAACTAGCATAACTAAGTAAATAATTTATGTTCCTAATATTATGTAATTATAATATTTCAAATAAACTAATCGGAAACAATTTATTGAAAAAAAAGAAAATCACTCGGCCTATTAGGCAAATCGGGCAATGCATAGTAGGCCAAGAAGTGCGTTCTGGCTACTAGGTACGACATATATATATATATATATATATATATATATATATATATATATATATATATATATATATATATATATAATATATTACAGTCTATCATGTAAACATATGTTGTTAAATATGACCGAAAAGGCAAGATTAATAATTCTAACAAGAATTTGGCTTCACCCTGCAATCAGTCTCTCTTCCGTTTCAGGGTGATTCTGGAGGTCCAGTGACCCACCAAGAGAGCCCCACGGAGCCCTGGACGGTGGTGGGTGTGGTAAGCTTCGGGCGGGGCTGTGCTCGGCCGGGGTACCCAGGCGTCTACACCCGCATCACCACCTTCCTGCCCTGGCTCTCTAAAGTCATGCATCTTTATCCATAGAGCCCAGTGCACCAAGTCATCAAGATGAGAAACGTCGTCTTTATAAAACAAGAAATTCGGCTGACCACTTTGATTTTTAGGATGGTAGTGAGTGGTTTTCCTTGTGGTCCCTATGAGGCGTTAAGAAGGTCATGGCCCCCCATGATGCGTCAAGAAGGTCATGGCCCCCATGATGCGTCAAGAAGGTCATGGCCCCCATGATGCGTCAAGAAGGTCATGGACCCCATGATGCGTCAAGAAGGTCATGGCCCCCATGACGCGTCAAGGTCATGGCCCCCATGATGCGTCAAGAAGGTCATGGCCCCCATGATGCGTCAAGGTCATGGCCCCCATGATGCGTCAAGGTCATGGCCCCCATGACGAGTCAAGGGCATGGCCCATTATTCCTAGGATAAAGAAGTAATAACAGTCTACACCCCTGGCCTCGTCCCTTAAACTATTGCCCATAAACCATTAGTCAGTAGGTAAACAATATCTCGTACATAAATCCCCAAGAAAATATTTTCAGAGAGAAGAAATAAAAATTAAATAAAACAATGTTATGATATCTTACCCTCTCAATATATATCTAAGTTATTATTTTTACCTTTTCTTTACTTTGATGTATGAACGTGTGAGGTGTGGTTTCACAAAGTGTGTTTTGGTGTGGAGTAAGTGGGCCCATGGAGGCAAGTAACCTGGAACTACTCCTGTGTATCCACCTTGGCGCCCACTTACTACTCTTCCTATCGGCAGGAGCCGCTGCCACACATAGAGAAGGAGAGAACGCAAACAAGTGCAGGGAAATGGACAACCGGTTCCATTCTATTCCTATAAGATCAGAAACCCTTGGTCTATGGGGAAAGAGTACAAGGGCTTCTGGGTTCCAGGCTCATTAAAACAACAAGATTCACAAGAGCGGCGAGCTTCCTTTTCCAGCGTCATAGCGTGGCGATCCAAAGGGGGAATGCTCATTGCATTCTTGCAGTGAGCATTCGTGTCTGCCCGGCGACGAAGGAGTTTGAAGAAGTCTACAGCCTCTAGGGAACAAACTTCCTTTGTTTTTCTGGTTATGTTCACATTATGAAGTCATTTACTTGTGTAACATTGCATAATAAAGTATATAATGACAAAAAAGGGGTCGTGGTAGATGCAAATAGATGTATTTAGAATCAAACGACAAGTTTTTCTCTGAATGCTATTTATTCCCAATATTAACTATTTGTGTCTGCAGAATCGAGCTATTAGCTCTTCGACCCCCCAATTCTAACCACTCTATTTTTCCTCTGTTATATCTACTACATATATCTCTAACACACGCACACATATACATACACACCAAGAGGCAGTTGTCTAACTCCCAGGTACCTATTTACTGCTAGGTGAACAGCCCCACCAGGGTGACAGAAACTCTGCCAATTTCCGCCTCCGCCGGGAATCGAACCCGGGCCATTTGGACTACGATCCTCGAACGTTATCCACTCTGCCGCGAGGCCCCCTAATCACTCGATAATTGCACCAGAGATATATTGGGGTGATGGACTTTTGGTTCGTGATTAATCTTTAGGTGTTGATAATTCCCCGATAAAGACGGTATAGATTTTTTACAAACTCATAAAAACTCTATGTAGTTGTTCTTCGTGTGTGTCTGGCATAGAAATGGTAGTGCCTGGAGTTCCTGATACCAGGGTGAGTGCATATTGTGGGCGTTAGTGTGAGCGAGGTAAGCCTTCTGCTAAATTTTCTGCAGTTAGTGGTTAGATGTGAGAATGTCTTACACGTTTTCTTTGGTGACTTGAGTGGTGGGAATAACCGTGGGTTTAGGGGGGACAATGGAGGATTGATTGCTAGGTTGGTGGGGGGGGCATGAGTCTTGAAGGAATTCGAACAATAAGATCAGCTGTGATTGGTCCTAAGAGTGATCGTAGGTAGGGAAGGGAACTATCAGGAAAAAACACCAATCCATCACGAATATATAGCACTGGGAAGAGGTCAGGATAATGCTAGGGATGGGACAGGGAGAAGGAACAGTGCCCAAACACTTGGACGGTCGGGGATTGAACGCCGATCTGCATGAAGCGAGACCGTCGCTCTACCGTCCAACCAAAGTGATCATAGGAAGGTGATTATTGGTGTTGAAAGTAGTTGAGCTAAGACATGTTTATTACATTGTGCCAAATGTTTGGCTATTTGGATGTAGTGATCTCGACAGGGACAGGAAGTCGTGGATTTGTCAAAAGTCTTTCCATTTTTCCTGATGATTTTGTTCTGTTGGGTACTGAACTACAGCAATGTCATGATACAGACAGTCTCGACGGGTAGGCGGTTCCACGGGTTTATAAACCTATGGGTGACGACGCATCTGTTTTTTTGTCGTACATTGTAGCTTGTTGAGCTTAGAACCGTTGTTCCTTGTTTGTGTTACATCTGACCTTTTAAAGAAGTTGTCTGCATCAATATCCTCCAAATTGTTCAGTATTTTAAAAATTTCGATGAGATGAGCCCTGTCATGTCCGGTTTATAGTGTTGTTAATACTGTGGTTGTCAACCGTTCCTGATATGGAGCATCAGGGGAAAGCACGAAGCCACCACGATTATATAACACTTGGAAGAGGTCAGGATAAGGATTTGGAATGGAACGGGGGGGAGGGAGGGAGGAGGAATGGTGAACAGAGGCATCAGGTGACAGGAAAAGCCCCCGGATATTTCTGTCCCGCCCACAATTCGAACCTAGAATTCCAGACTAGGAGTCGAGAATGAACCATACTGAACCACCGGGTTTAGGAGAAGCATAATAATGAATTAAACTTGTGTTTGAGTGAATTAAAAATATCTTGCAATGAAAAGGCTAAGGTGTGGCACAGCCTGGGTGGAATTGAGGTGTGGCACAGCGAGGGTGGAACTGAGGTGTGACACAGCGAGGGTTTAACTGAGGTGTGGCACAGCCAGGGTTGAACTAGGGTGTGGCACAGCCAGGGTGGAACTGAGGTGTGGCACAGCGAGGGTGGAACTGAGGTGTGGCACAGCGAGGGTTTAACTGAGGTGTGGCACAGCCAGGGTTGAACTGAGGTGTGGCACAGCCAGGGTTGAACTGAGGTGTGGCACAGCCAGGGTTGAACTAGGGTGTGGCACAGCGAGGGTGGAACTGAGGTGTGGCACAGCGAGGGTGGAACTGAGGTGTGACACAGCGAGGGTGGAACTGAGGTGTGACACAGCGAGGGTGGAACTGAGGTGTGGCACAGCCAGGGTGGAACTGAGGTGTGGCACAGCCAGGGTGGAACTGAGGTGTGACACAGCGAGGGTGGAACTGAGGTGTGACACAGCGAGGGTGGAACTGAGGTGTGGCACAGCCAGGGTTGAACTGAGGTGTGGCACAGCGAGGGTGGAACTGAGGTGTGACACAGCGAGGGTTTAACTGAGGTGTGGCACAGCCTGGGTGGAACTGAGGTGTGGCACAGCGAGGGTGGAACTGAGGTGTGACACAGCGAGGGTTTAACTGAGGTGTGGCACAGCCAGGGTTGAACTAGGGTGTGGCACAGCCAGGGTGGAACTGAGGTGTGGCACAGCCAGGGTGGAACTGAGGTGTGGCACAGCGAGGGTGGAACTGAGGTGTGACACAGCGAGGGTGGAACTGAGGTGTGGCACAGCGAGGATGGAACTGAGGTGTGGCACAGCGAGGGTGGAACTGAGGTGTGGCACAGCCAGAGTGGAACTAAACATATAAGTCACATTATATTATAATGTCATATTATACTATGAATTTATACTATACTATAAAGCTATATTATACTATGACAATTTATCTTTAGGATGTAAATGGTAAAGAGTGAGATAATAAAGTAGACTGTTGTGGGTTGCATCCTGTTGCTTGGCAAGTAACTAGGTGGAAGACCCCTAATAAAACCTAAGGCTTGCTGTCCCCGATGAGAAAGCATATAGATATTATTATGTTTAATTACCTTTGGCAGCTAAACCTGCCGCGTGTTAATCATGGTTTCGCTCTCAAGATCAAACTGTCCAACTCTTGAACTACTGGGATTTTGACGTCTTCAAGTAATATTGGTACCACTATTGTGCAGGCCGTCTTCAGAGAATGTCCGTTCCATTCGGCGGTCGACCCCACAGATGCATTCATCAACTTTAACATGCTGTTCATTCAAAATTGGAGTTTTCTCAAATATAAATTAATATTATTTTTATTAGCATATTGTGCATATTTAGGCATAGGTTAAGTTAGGTTTATGTTCTGTTGGCGATTATTTGTATTTATACAACCCGTCCTCACACTAGGCTGGTTAAAGCAGCGGCCAGCCTCCCCAGACGCATTCATCAAATTTAACATACTGTGTATTGAAACTCGGTTTGTCCTCATATATATATACATTTTTTCTTATACAAAAAAATCTATGTATAGTTAGGCGTAGGTTAGTTGGTGTTTAGGTACTGTTGGCGATAATTTGTATTTGAAGAATGTGAGTGACGCATTTAAAGAATTGTAGTTCGAACAGAGAACGTGAGTGAAGCACTTGTTCCGGAAGTGTTTGGACGTCTTCAGTTGTGAGTCGTGTGTAAACCGTTTTTTCATTCATAAGCAAGGGGGTTTGGCGGCTGGATTAACGCGCTTAGATCTTTGTATGCGAGGACGGGCTACCTCAGGCTATGTTCTAGCTTTCATCCAAGTGTTTCACTCACTTTAAATGTTCGAAGAACATCTCTTAAAGTGTTTCATCGACACGCTTTAAATGTAACAAATTCCGGCAATCACCAAAATTACGCCAAATTCATATTAATTCACCCGCTCTCCTCCTTGTTTATAAATGAAAACCATTTTGCATTCAGCTCACAATTGATTATGTTCGAACATTTCTCGAGCAATGTTTCCCCTCATAGTCTGTGTCTCAGTCTCAACCTCATTATTTCCTCACAACCCGCCCTCATAAACAAAGGTCCCAGAATCCACCAGTCATTAAATAACGGCCGGGAAAGAAATGGTTCCCGTCCTCGACTCAAGTCCATTACATCCAGCGGTCGACCCCACAGACGCATTCATAAATTTTAACATGCTGTTCATTCAAAACGGGAATTTTCTCAAGTATAAATTAATATTATAATATATTAGCATATTGTGCATATATAGGCATAGGTTAGGTTAGGTTAGGTGTTTAGGTTCTGTTGGCGATTATTTGTATTTGTAGTACGTGGGTGAAGCATTTATAGCGTTGTGATTCGAACAAAATTCGTCAGTGAAGCACTTGTTCCGGATATGTTCGAACGTCAGCAGCCCGTCCTCCAAACAAAGATCCAAAAGTGATTCCATGCACCCGCCAAACCCCCTGTTTATGAATGAAAAGCGGTTTACACACGACTCACAACTGCTGACATTCGAACATATCCGGAACAAGTGCTTCACTGACGAATTTTGTTCGAATCACAACGCTATAAATGCTTCACCCACGTACTACAAATACAAATAATCGCCAACAGAACCTAAACACCTAACCTAACCTATCCTATGCCTATATATACACAATATGCTAATATATTATAATATTAATTTATATTTGAGAAAATTCCCGTTTTGAATGAACAGCATGTTAAAATTTATGAATGCGTCTGTGGGGTCGACCGCTGGATGTAATGGACTTGAGTCGAGGACGGGTTGTGTGTAAACCGCTTTTCATTCATAAACAGGGGGTTTGGCGGGTGCATGGAATCACTTTTGGATCTTTGTTTGGAGGACGGGCTGGTGAAGCACTTGTTCCGGATATGTTCGAACGTCAGCAGTTGTGAGTCGTGTGTAAACCGCTTTTCATTCATAAACAGGGGGTTTGGCGGGTGCATGGAATCACTTTTGGATCTTTGTTTGGAGGACGGGCTGTTACACACGACTCACAACTGCTGACGTTCGAACATTTCCGGAACAAGTGCTTCACTGACGAATTTTGTTCGAACCACAACGCTATAAATGCTTCACCCACGTACTACAAATACAAATAATCGCCAACAGAACCTAAACACCTAACCTAACCTATGCCTATATATGCACAATATGCTAATATATTATAATATTAATTTATATTTGAGAAAATTCCCGTTTTGAATGAACAGCATGTAAAAATTTATGAATGCGTCTGTGGGGTCGACCGCTGGATGTAATGGACTTGAGTCGAGGACGGGTTGCTGTGCTCCTCGCTTCACCAGGTGTAAGCATTTTAGAGGGGAACTTGGCTTGGGTTAAAACCGAGGTGCTGTATTTAAGTCTTTAAAAGATTTTATTTCAACTTTGTCATCCAGCTGCTATTTGGGTTCGTTATAGTTGCTTCTGTGTTGGAACTAATTGATAAATTGCGTGTAGTTTAATGGCTTGTTTATTCATGTAGACATGCCAAATGTTACTCGATTATTTCACATATATAAACTAGTAAACGTGGAAAGAGCATAAGAGTTTACACTAAGATATCTTGTATATATATTGCCGAAGAAGTTTGTTATTGAAGTTGACAGCTTGCCGTCTTCCTTAATATTTAAAAATAAAATGCAAGTTAAGGAAAGTTTCACTTTGTATTATCGGAGCATATTTAAATATAGCTCGTGTCTGTCTTCCATAAATTTGATAGTTTTTGTATTTTTAATATTAGGGGATTTGGGCGTCTGTTTTATTTACTTTCCTATCAAAAGTAACTGATCTTTTTATTTTTATTTTTTATTTTTTTTTTTATAACAATTTAGTATGTTGAGTGATATTGACATTAATATTTACGTAGATGCCAATTTCTTATTGCGGCATTGTTTTTAACCTAGTTCAAGAATGGATAGTTTTTGATAGATTGTTCCAGTGGGTACAAGAGCAGTAGCGCGGAACCAACAGTTGTGTTGTTCCACTGGGGCATAGTACCGGATTTATTTAAAATCTTTCTCTGCCTCTTGTATATTGGCAGGCTGTTGTTACTCGAATGGCTGAAGCCTCGCAGGCTGTTGTTACTCGAATGGCTGAAGCCTCGCACCATTCTAATGGCCAACCATGGCAGTGTCGTCTGGGTACGAACAGGGACCGAATTTCCTTATTGTTGACTACCGGGAACCTCTCTGATGTGACGCTTGTGTTCTCCAATAACACACACATTAAGGTACGTTCTTGAATCTAATAAATGTAATGCAGAGTCTAGCTTAATCTGTTTTCAAAGTCGTGTAACTTGAAATGTTTGCTAGTGTTAGTCTTGCATGTATTCACTTGCTAGCTGGGGTAAAGGGGTCGCTATAAGGCCTCCCGTGATTGTTAAATTTAGGAATATTCAGAAACGGAAGGTTTAGAAAAGAACTTTTCCTTGGAGTTTTATTGACGTGACCCAGTTGTCTGAAATAGGCAAGTTTACCCGTCTGAAGCAGTTGGTTAACTTAGTTTTTCCAGATTAATTTGGTTTTTAATGTATAGCCAGTCTGTTAATCTTGTAGAGAATTGTCATCGGTGACCATCCAGGCATCACGTGTATAAGTGTACACAAACTGACGACTTAAGGCCTGTCGCTTACTAAATCACACTGGGGATGGCATCTTTGATAATTACATTATCTGGTTAGAGACGGTGATCTATAAACCGACTGACTCTTTATAGCATTACACTATTTCACAACGTGAGAATAAAGGAAACTGCATGATACCTATTGGCCCATAAGGCGGCTCCTATTTCTACACAAATTCAACCATGTACTCGCCTAGTTGTGCTTGCGGGGGTTGAGCTTCGGCTCTTTGGTCTCGCCTGTCGTGTGTATTGATCCTGAAACACTCCATAGATGCTATGTTATTCGATAATTAAAATAACTTTAAAAACCTTACTGAAAGTAATGTTGAACCCGTGCGCGCTGCCACGAGTTCGTTTCGCCTTACGGTGAAGAAGGGGGAGGGGGGGGGGGGGGGGGCACACAGGAGACTGGGGCCGCTGCGGCTTTCATCTGGAGGGTGTAAGCCGCTCCTGGCTGTGTTGTTAGGGAAACGGGGGATTCCGTTCGGGATCCCACACCAGCCGAAGGGAGGGAGAGAATTATCGGGGAAAAACGCCAAGCTATTAAGACTACATAGCACTGGGAAGGGGGACTCAGGATCGGGGAGATATCTCCCGTCACGCAGGGTGCAGTCGCACCTCCACAGATGTCCAGTATCTATTGATACTGGTAATGGCTCAAAACGGCCACCACTTACGGGCTATTCATGCCCGTGCCACCTTTTGGGTGGTTTAATCTTCATCAATCGGGTCAGGATAAAAATTAGAGATGGGACGGGGGGCAGGAATGGTGCCCAACCACTTCGGTGATCGGAGATTGAACACCGATCTGCATAGAGCGAGACACGCTACCCTCAACTCAGTGGCTGGGCACCACATACCGGTGAATTCAAAGGCAGGTAGTGTCTCCTGTATTGTTCCTCCTCCTAAGGCATCAGCCGACCGCCTAGCTGTCACGCATAGTTGGGACACCCAGTTAAGTCATTGACAATATCCCATAAAATGCCTACATCGGCAGTTAATTCAGCTACCTCGTGACTCGCCTGGAGACTTGAGGCTATCTTGAGATGATTTCGGGGCTTTTTTAGTGTCCCCGCGGCCCGGTCCACGACCAGGCCTCCACCCCCAGGAAGCAGCCCGTGACAGCTGACTAACACCCAGGTACCTATTTACTGCTAGGTAACAGGGGCATAGGGTGAAAGAAACTCTGCCCATTGTTTCTCGCCGGCGCCTAGGATCGAACCCAGGATCACAGGATCACAAGTCCAGCGTGCTGTCCGCTCGGCCGACCGGCTCCCTAGGCACGAGGCACTTTATACCTACAATACCTACAATCAGAACAAATCCAAAAGGGCCGTGACGAGGATTCGAACCTGCGTCGTTGACGCAGGTTCGGAACCTCGTCACGGCCCTTGTGGATTTGTTAATTTTAATGCATCACGTTAGTAATGTCTGTGCGCCTGAATCAATGGGTCCTCAAAGGCTTGGTCATCTCTCCAGGATGCTACGTTCCCTCAACCACCATCGTGATTGTCTGCAATCCTTTGTAGTAATAAAGACTCCTTTTGACAGGAACGTCTTGGTTTTGGCCAGTCTTACTGGTGCCTGATGCTCCTTCAGGATCACCCCCCCCCCCTCCACGAGTACTGGAGATGTGGGCATGGAGAACTGCAGTGGCCTCTGGTGTGGTGACACCGGTGGGTTTCTTTGGCGATACCCACCATGACTTTTACCGAACATTTTGTTTGGGTATTTTAGTACCAAGTCTTGAGGGCTACCCGTAGCCTGCTGCGGGTAACAGCTGTAGGCGTCTACGTCACTTAGAAAGAGCATATGATGATGCATACAGTAGACTACAATTGCATTCTTCAGATTGACGGCAGTTTGCCGTTCCACCTCCTAATTAGGTGCTGTCGGCCGTGTCTTGACACTTCAGGGCCTCGTAGCCTGGTGAATAGCGCGCAGGACTCGTAATTCTGTGGCGCGGGTTCGATTCCCGCACGAGGCAGAAACAAATGGGCAAAGTTTCTTTCACCCTAAGTGCCCCTGTTACCTAGCAGTAAATAGGTACCTGGGAGTTAGTCAGCTGTCACGGGCTGCTTCTTGGGGTGTGTGTGTGTGGTGTGGGGAAAAAAAAATAGTTAGTAAACAGTTGATTGACAGTTGAGAGGCGGGCCGAAAGAGCAAAGCTCAACCCCGGCAAAACACAACTAGTAAACACTTAACTCATCACTGGAGTGTTTTCATCGTGGCTAAGTGAGACACCTTTGGTGGATACGCGCGTAATTATCGCCCTCGAGCTACTATCTTGACGCCCTCGAGCTACTATCTTGACGCCCTCGAGCTACTATCTTGACGCCCTCGAGCTACTATCTTGACGCCCTCAGGCTACTATCTTGACGCCCTCGAGCTACTATCTTGACGCCCTCGGGCTACTATCTTGACGCCCTCGGGCTACTATCTTGACGCCCTCGGGCTACTATCTTGACGCCCTCGGGCTACTATCTTGACGCCCTCGGGCTACTATCTTGACGCCCTCGGGCTACTATCTTGACGCCCTCGGGCTACTATCTTGACGCCCTCGGGCTACTATCTTGACGCCCTCGGGCTACTATCTTGACGCCCTCGGGCTACTATCTTGACGCCCTCGGGCTACTATCTTGACGCCCTCGGGCTACTATCTTGACGCCCTCGGGCTACTATCTTGACGCCCTCGGGCTACTATCTTGACGCCCTCGGGCTACTATCTTGACGCCCTCGGGCTACTATCTTGACGCCCTCGGGCTACTATCTTGACGCCCTCGGGCTACTATCTTGACGCCCTCGGGCTACTATCTTGACGCCCTCGGGCTACTATCTTGACGCCCTCGGGCTACTATCTTGACGCCCTCGGGCTACTATCTTGACGCCCTCGGGCTACTATCTTGACGCCCTCGGGCTACTATCTTGACGCCCTCGGGCTACTATCTTGACGCCCTCGGGCTACTATCTTGACGCCCTCGGGCTACTATCTTGACGCCCTCGGGCTACTATCTTGACGCCCTCGGGCTACTATCTTGACGCCCTCGGGCTACTATCTTGACGCCCTCGGGCTACTATCTTGACGCCCTCGGGCTACTATCTTGACGCCCTCGGGCTACTATCTTGACGCCCTCGGGCTACTATCTTGACGCCCTCGGGCTACTATCTTGACGCCCTCGGGCTACTATCTTGACGCCCTCGGGCTACTATCTTGACGCCCTCGGGCCACTATCTTGACGCCCTCGGGCCACTATCTTGACGCCCTCGGGCCACTATCTAGACGCCCTCGGGCCACTATCTAGACGCCCTCGGGCCACTATCTAGACGCCCTCGGGCCACTATCTAGACGCCCTCGGGCCACTATCTAGACGCCCTCGGGCCACTATCTAGACGCCCTCGGGCCACTATCTAGACGCCCTCGGGCCACTATCTAGACGCCCTCGGGCCACTATCTAGACGCCCTCGGGCCACTATCTAGACGCCCTCGGGCCACTATCTAGACGCCCTCGGGCCACTATCTAGACGCCCTCGGGCCACTATCTAGACGCCCTCGGGCCACTATCTAGACGCCCTCGGGCCACTATCTAGACGCCCTCGGGCCACTATCTAGACGCCCTCGGGCCACTATCTAGACGCCCTCGGGCCACTATCTAGACCTATTCGTTGTAACGAATGTGAACTAGAAGAAGAGGTGAATTAAGATAATCCTAAAGGAAGAGCGTGATGAAGGAAGGAAGGTGGAGCAGAAGGGGAAAGTAGATAGAAAATGATATTAAGGGTAGACTTGGTAGGGGGGAGAGGAGGGGGAAGAGGTAGAAGAGTAGGACTAGTTAGCGAGAGTTAAGTGTTGGGTGCTACTATACATTCATATTTAAAAAACGAGGAACGTAGTGGTAATTCCCCCCCCCCCCCCCCCCCCCCCCCTCCCCCCCCCCCCTGTTATGTCGCAGCGTGTTGTAACGGCAACCATTTAAATCTGTTAATTAACAAGCGGGAATATTTTAAGAATTTTTTAGTGCTCTCTCTCCCCCTTGACCTTTCTATATCAACGTTAAGAATCGTTCACTACACGAGAAATGGATCAATATGGCGGACTGTCCCTGGAATTTCAGATCATCCAGAACATATAATTCGGAACATAAAATACATCTCTCGGCCGAACTTGCCGAGGTCTTTGAGCAGCTTGGTTAGAGAGGTGAGAGGGGGGTCATGGGGGGGGGGGGCTGTGTAGTATCTGCCTTTCAGAGTCGAAGCCTCACCATTTGGTCACCATTTGGTCCGGGAGACATCTCCCGTCACGCAGGGTGCAGTCGCGCCTCCACAGATCTCCAGTATCAGCTCTTGATACTGGTAATGGCTCAAAAGGGCCACCACTTACGGGCTATTCATGCCCGTGCCATCTTTTGGGTGGCTTAATCTTCATCAATCAATCAGTCGAAGCCTCACTGTAGCGAGGAGCCTCTGGTGGAGAGGCTCGTTTTATCTCTTAATTATATATCTCGTGTATAAGGGGGGACCAGGAGCTAAGCTCCGCCCATCAGATAGCCCCCTTCCCCCGGCAATCTAGTAATCACACCCAGGCAGGCAGCTCGTTTGATAAGACGAGCACAACCATCTGCAAATATCGGCATAATACAGGGCGCGGACCCTGACTCCTTGCCCAACATCTCAACATTAAAACTTCAAACAGCTTGCTCAAATGGCAAGGACACACACTGGCGACAAATTCCCGTGTACATGTCTTGACACAAAATGCATTTGTGAATAAAACATTTGTTGCAACGTTATTCTTGTGCTCGGGAACCTTTTGGTTCACCCAAACACAGATTTTACGTAAAAATACGTATTTTATTTCAAAACTTCGCTATGATCAGTTAATAGAAAAGTTGTCACTTTGCACCATAAACAGCTACGCTCCTGTGCCAGGTCAGTCCACTATGGGCTCGCCATAGCCCGTGCTACTTGGCAGTTTGTTCAAAGTAGCTGAATCTAAAACAACCTCACTTTGCACTTGTACGAAACAGGAAGTGGTCGCCCTTGAAGACCTGCTGGAGGTGCTTTGCGTTCCCTTACGGTATAGTTTGCATGCCTACTGGCGTGTTGGTACATGTATGAAATGTGTGCTCCGAAGTGTTGCCAACTTCACCCTGTAAAGTATCCTCGACTTGTAGCTTGAAGTACTATCATTCCATCACCATTCTCTCTCCCCCCCCCCCCCCCCCAGAAACGACTTTTATCCCAAACATTGGAAATTTAATGCACTTTCATGGAAGAAGGGTGGGATGTTCGATGCCAATTTAATGCTTAACTGCAATAATTTTCACTTCATAATTTTCACAAACTACATGGCTACAGGCGATGGTAGTGCTAGCCCTAAGGCAGGGCTCGGAGACGAACAACTTTAGAAACCCTCTCCAGGTATGTTCCAGGCATTACTTTAATTATATTCCAAAATCTAAATATTTAAATTCTTAACATTAAATACGAAATATTAGAACACGTACACTGACTTATTTGTTTCTAAAGTCTGCAGACACAAAGATTTCTTGCCATGGGTCCCAATTTGTTTAGTAGTGCCTCAGCTGTTAAAGATATGGTCGACCCCACCACCCTCCCTGCTCCTGAGGCGGCGCACATGATCCACACAGCCAGGACGGTGTTCGGAGAGACCTCTCTACTCTCTGAAAAAGCTGCTGCCGACGTCGTCACCAGCATTAACGAGCAGAACCCGTCTTTGACCACTGTCGCTACAGAATTCATTCCTGTAAATGACAGCCTCTTCACCATGAAGGCCACCTTTACAACGCATGAGGAAGCTACCTTTGCTGTTAATGACGACTTTCGGTGCTTTGGTATTGCCAGTACACCTCGCCAGATCACCAAGGCGCACTACTACAGACTTCGTCAGTGCTTAAAGGGCTACAGCTACGAGCACGTCACAGAATTGTAAATCTCGAGACCACGGTGCTGCAAGTGAGCCGGGAACCACCACTTCAGAGACATTAAAGACTGTCTTCACTGCCTTCTATGTTAAGGTGAACATATTAGTTTCCACCGAGGACTTGCAGAAATAGATGTTGACCTGCCTGGCGTCGGACAACACTCGCCGTGCACGAAAAACTTTCAACGGGCAAGCCACGAACTTCCCGGAGCTTGTGGGTGGTGCAGGAGCAACCATGCAGCAGCCTGCCAATAGGAGGGGAGTGGGGGGGCCGAGCTCTCCGTCCGCCAACCATTTATAGACTCTGCTGCAACAGCCACGTTGTTAATGAATCGGCTACTTGGAACAAAAAGTTCAAAGTAGTACTGGGTATGGTGATCCCGTAGTGGACTTGCGTGGTACAAGAGCGGGGCTGTGTCTGATTAAGGATTAGCCCGAGAGGTTGTGGCAACGGCCACAACTCTCGGGCTAATAAAGCCAGCCTTCACCACACCAGTTGCTGGCCCCAAACACCGTTAATAGTAGTCTTCGCACTTAAACGCCTGGCAGAAATTATGGCTAAATAAAACTAAAAAAAAAATCGTAAGACTTCTAATACGCTGCTAATGGTCTACCAACATTCGATGATCTTGAGCTCCCCATGACTACAGACGGCTTCAACCACTGCCACAGCTACCACTTAAGCTACTAATACCACTTGAGCCTCTGACATCACCATCTCTCCAGATGCACTGGCAGACCTCCTGTCTGCTGACGCCCACCCTCTGCAACCTGCTACAGTTCCTGCACCACCACCACCACCACCTGCCACTCCAGACGCTCTATACCTCCCCAGCATGTCTCAACTGACTCGATGCAAACTTCTCCACTACTAGCAAAAGCTTGTTCGTCACCTGACCTCCGCTTATCTGATTATACTGCCTCTGAGGTTGAAGTTCACTCACCCGAGGCATCGAACCTCTCCAGCTATGCAAGACCAGACTGTAACGAGGCAAAACTGCTTATGGATCTCCTAAATTTAGAAAATTTACCAGCCAAATCTACAAGTACTGAAGAACTTGGATAAATATCCAGAATGGACTAATGTGAGCGGCGTTCCTGTAATTGCCATCCTGAGTGCGACAAGTCCACTCTTCTACCAAACCTCGTCTCTCCTGACCTACAGGACCTAAAAGCTCACCGTATGTAGCTACGACAACAGAGGAAGATATTGATCATGGAGAGCCGCAAAAACAAAGACTGAAGACACCACCAGAAGACACAATCACCACCTAGAATGGAAATGCACCGCCACTGCTGCCCCCTTCCTGACCCGACTCAAAGCCTAGCTAGTTGTTCCAGCATAGATTCCACAGCTGGGTTAAGCCCTGGCTCTTTCTCTACAACTTCAGCACTTCCTCTCGCCGACTTCTCTTAAACTGTCCCCAGTTCAAGGCTTGCCCTAATGGTTATCTAATCCTGTATATTATTGATATTGAGGGCACTAATCATACTATTGATTGGTCTTCTACAGTCTTAACTGCATCTGTGATGGGAAGAGGCATTGTTTACTCGGCTGTGATACACAACATACCCAACATTAACTGTGTTGCTGTCGACTCTTCTATTTCACAGTACTGTACATAGTCACTCACTCACCTCCTTAACTTGAACAGACTCGTGCTATTAACTTTTTCTTAACTGCTCTGCTCGTTTGTAGTCTCGCTTACCTTGGGTATGTGTCCCTTCCTCTATCACAGCTTGATAATGGTCCACGACGGACAGAAACGTAGTATTTTAATTTTGATGTGTGGCTTGGTCCTTGCATTCAGCCACGTTGTGAATCGTCGCCTGCAAGTCAACTCATTTGTTCACTTGCACGTTTTAACTTTTTTTTCCAGAATTGCTATTTTTTTTCTTTACGTGTCCCTAGATTCTCCATCTCTCCCTTTCCCAGGCCCACAGACTGATCCTGGCTATGGGTTCCCCCGTCCTGGAAGCAATGATGTATGGGCCACTGGCTACTCATGGCGATCTCGCCCTCAACGCAGACCCGTTTGAAGTCTTCATCTTCTTACTGAATTATCTCTATTTGGACGAAATTAATTTACCAGACTTGGATATGGCTATGCGTGTTTACCATCTCGCTCACAAGTACCAAGTAGACACGCTGTCGGAGGCATGCTCGAAGGTAAGGAGGCTGTTGGGATGAAGTGGGTGGTGGTGTATATGAAGATTGAGGGCTTGATAGATTAAAGTTGAGTGATTTTTTCCCCCTTGCAGTACCTGGTGGACGAGGTGCAGCCGGAGACGGTCCCAAGGATCTTTGACACGGCTATGCTTTTGGAAGATAATTTTGTGCTTCAGCGTTGCATAGAGGTCTGTGCTACACCCTACTTCTTTATAAAGTGTTGGTGATAGTGAATACATAAGATTTTATATTTAGGTAAAGCAGTCCTTATTGCTAGTTTAACTTTATAATCTCTACATGACCGAAGAAACTATGCCCATAACACATTTGTACGAGGGAGCCGGTCGGCCGAGCGGACAGAACGCTGGACTGTAATCCTGTGGTCCAAGGTTCGATCCCGGGGGCCGGCGAGAAACTATGGGCAGAGTTTCTTTCACCCTATGCCCCTGTTACCTAGCAGTAAAATGGGTACCTGGGTGTTAGTCAGCTCTCACGGGCTGCTTCCTGGGGGTGGAGGCCTGGTCGAGGACCGGGCCGCGGGGACACTAAAGCCCCGAAATCATCTCAAGATAACCTTTCAGTTTCATGTATAGGTTTCCCTTTTCTGGTAGCCTAAAACTTGCCTAGATCTTTATCTCGTGTTTTTGTAGATTAGTAATAAATTATAGTATGAAACGGTTCAGATTAATTCTAATAACGTTATTGCTTGCGTGTAACTAATCTTCTCATTATTTAAAAAATGGACGAATTGTTCTTCTACGTAAAGTGTAGAACGGCTCTTGCTTACTCACCTAGCAAGAGTTGAGTTGCCCCAAAAGTAATTTAATTCTTCTAGTTAATGCTCCTTCTCATAAGTTAATATGGCTTGATACGACTAGTGTTCCCAGTGTGCTTTATCTTGGCACACGTGAACTCTGCCATCTTAATCTTCCCGACAACAAATATTGCACAAACAATGCGACCATATTGATCTAAATATCCTATCCGGCAAAGTTATTTGCTTACCAATTACAATACCAGATTAATATTTTTCATACATTTTCATTTATCAAAAGTGAATTGCCATAGTCTTACATAATAAACTTTTTTTAATCCTAAAAATTCTCATTTCGGGCGGTAGTTGAGCAGAATTTGAAAGTTTTTATAATTTTAATGAATGTGGACAAATGGACTGAAATAGTGGAGACTTTGGGTTCTCGGAATCCTTTAATGCTGCTAATCTAGCCATTTTTGCTCCAGTGTTGGTATCTTGAGTGATAATTAACACTTTGAATGTACTGGATCATCCCACAACTTGTCAGCCCTTAGACTTGCTGTGGAGGCTCCTGGGATCGGTATGAATTAGTCTGGAAGGTGATGAAATAGACTTTGAGAATCTTGCAACTTTAACCTTTATATTCCTCAATGATACAAAGTAACAATGATTACATAACTTATGGTAGTTTACGACGTGACTCGTATTTTAATAAATTCAGTTGGTTATAAACTGGTACAGCACTTGTTAAATTTAGTTTTTTCGTAAATGGTGAAAGGGGGTAAAATTAGTTTGAAAACTTCCCCGAGTTTTGTCGGCAAATAACTTGAAATTTAACTAGAAATAGATGCAAAAAAGGCTTGGATGTTCCACATAATGTTATTGAGAAACTGAATAGATACGTAACGTCAGTTTCTCTGAAATCTATTGACTTTTCAGGAAAACATTTATTTGATTAATGCCAATTCTTGCAAAAATAGTTCATTTAATTACACAACTGTTACTATGTAAGATACTTTGGACCGAATTTACAGAAGCGTTTTCCTGCTGTAAATTTGTTTTATTACTAAAATTTCCAATCGGCTATTTGTGGAATGCAATGTTGATTTTCAGTCTTTTTATATTCCCGCTCTAAAGTAGTTCGTAATTTATTATCAGTAATCTGTTCCGTTATATTGCTACCATCACATCATGCAATGAAATGGGTTTAAAGGTACAATTTTTTTGGAAAGCTTGACTGGAAAATTTGCTGAAATTCCCTCTGCTTATTAGTCGACGTTAACTATATCTAATCTTAGCAATATTTACTTAGGTGCCAGTTACATTTAGGCCCTTGTAACTGTTGTAGCTTAATGAGGCCTATATTTGGATTATCCAGAGTAACTTCATGAAAATGTGAACTCTCATTTGTCCCGCTGAACATGGGTTCACTCGGTGATGGATTCAGAGGCTATTATATATAACTGATGTTGTGGCAGCTGCTGGTGGTGTCCCCGGAGAGGGTGCTACAGTCTCGAGACGTGTCTCACCTTGGGAGGTCGTCCTTGTGGCACATCTTGACCCACCCGAGGCTCTGCGTCTCCTCGGAGACTATAATCTTCAACGCCGTTATCAACTGGTGAGTCGATCTAACGTTGTATAGCTTAACCATACACTTGTATGGGTACCCAACCATATCCTTTATATCTACCTATACTTTTTTAAACTCCCAAAATCTATATAGTGTAAATTTCCATTGGCAAAAACTTTATTATTCACACCACATAAGATAACTCAATTTTTTCGGTAGGTTTGATAGGGAAGGTTGATTCTCCTTATCTGATCTCATCCTACACTCGGCCTTCATCTCGCCATACTGGATGCTGCCCTAAGATTGCATTCATTTATTTTTTACTTGTATACAAGAGTTCTTAAATTCTTGTACAGCCACTAGCACGCATAGGATTTCGGGAAGGTCCTTAATCCTATGTTCCCTGGAATACGTCCCCCGCCAAATAGTTAACCAGGTACCTATTTTACTGTTGGATGAACAGAGGCTACAGTTAATTACTTGCGCCCGAGTAACTGTATACTATACTCGTTTATAAAGGGGGGGAGGGGGGCTGTATAAACTTGTCTGCCTCCTTACGCTTTTGCGTGTTGTATTCCATCTTGTCTTGGCCCGTCTTTCCCCTGAGCTCAGTTTCCCTTGTTATAGCCGTTAGGAATTTTATCTCCTCAGTTTCCCTTATGGAATGCTAGCCTTTTGTTTTCCCATATCTTTCTTAGTACTTTAACCCTTCCTCGACCAGATACTCAAATGTCGGTACACTGTGATCGCTCATTCCTAATGGGTTCTCGAAGTAAATTTCCCTTATGTCGGAGTCATTCATAGTGAGGACTAGGTTTGGTTCATCGCTGGTTCATCGTTATCCCCTCATTCAGTTCCTTGACAGGCTGGATTAAGTATTTTGTTGCCACCTCCACTAGTTTGACTCTCCATGTATCCTCTCCTCCATACGGTTCCTTGTTCTCCCAGTCTATCCTTCCGTGATTAAAGTCCCCCCCCTCCCCCAATGATGAGCAGATGGGATCTAATTCTACAGGCAGTAGAGGCTGCCCTCTCAATTACATTAATAACTGCCATTTTGTCATACTCTTGCCTGGGTCTTCTGTCGTTTGGTGGAGCAGTTGTATATCGATGCTACTACTACTCTTGGTCTTCCCATCGCCATGGTGCCTGTTATGTAGTCTCTGAACCCCCCACAGCCTGGGATAACAATCTCCTTAACTCTAATCCTTTCTCAAGAGTTGGGCCACTCTGCCTCCTCCCTTACCCTCCCTCTTTCCTTAGTACAGTCCTGGGGAAACACAGCATTCGTTATGATTCCCGGGAGTTTTGTTCTTGAGTCCAATTACATCCGGGTTTACTGCTGGTGTTCCTTCCCTAAGTTCAGTTGCCTTGCATGTAATACCATCTATGGTAGAGTACATTGACTTGAAGCAGACTCTTTTCTGTTAATCCTCAGTTTGTAGATTCCACTGCTGTAGGTAAACATGGAGGATCTGGGATGGGGAGGGGACCTGGGTTGAGGGGTGCTGGGAAGATCTGGTTTGGAGAGGGTGGGAGTGAAGAGGCAAGCCTTGTACTGTGACGATGCTCTTGCATAATGACTGTGAATAGCTGCTCTGTTTTAGTAGAGTTGGTCCTGAACGACTGATCTCGAATAGCTATGCAACACTGAGTTTAAAGTCGTTATTTTGGCACTAATGCATGTTCTTGTGCGTACATAAATTGTTCAAATTTTCAGGGGAACGGAGAACATGGACACAGAATCAAATGCATCGCCAGTCTCGCAAGACGTAGAGGAAGAGCACGGCAATTATTTGGAACTTGCCAACCCTGGCCAGGATAGAGAGCAGCTGGGGTCAGGTGTTGCAAGCGGTGCAGAGGGTTTTGTGCTGAAATTATTCAACAGGAGACTGCGGCAGACTGTGGAAGAGTTTCTACCACTGGTGCGGTTCCTAAACATGACCTTACACGAGATGGTGACCTGCGTTTTCCCTTCAGGCATCCTCACAGGAGACGAGAGCGTCGCCCTTGTCTTAAACTTAAAGGGGAAGCACTCTGCCCTGCCCTATTTCGTCTCTCAGACAACAGTCGGTAAGAGAGAGAGTTCAATGAAGACGACCGTTCTGTCTTCTCTAAATTCGGCTTACGGCTCCAGCACTCAATTCACGTTCCATAATCAAGTGACTGTCAATTTGCTAAGGAATTTTATGACTACTAGAACAGTCTCGTTAGTCAAAATCTCTGCGATATGCACAGTAAGTTTACAAGAAGGTGTAGTGAATATTTGGAACTCTGCAAACGAGATTGTTGGTAGAGGAACTTGGCAGGGGACATCCTGTAGCTTCAGACGACCAGTCAGACTACTGCCAACGAAGGCGTACACGATATCACTGACTCTGCGCGACGCGATGTCTTCAACAGGCGCCAATAATGTCGTGTCAGTAACGCACCAAGGTACGGGGTTCTCTGGTCAGACGTTATGCAATGGCAAAATTGTAATAGATTATTACTTGACTGATGATGACACAAGACGCTCGATGTAACTGCGAAACTTGCAGCTAAAGTCCTTTGACACTTTTATTGGCGATTTTAAATTTTTAATCTACGTTTAGTGATATTGTATAAGCCTCATTACTGTAGGAAAGAAGGTTTATAAATTTTGTCGGGTGACAAGGACGGTGCTCGCATAAGTGTTTATTAACAGAAAACTATGAAATGTTACCAGAAAGACGTAAATTTGTTGTAAATACGTGACTAATCTCCAGACGGCAGATTACAAATTTTATATTTTTGTGTGTAGTGTTTTATGGGTTAGTTCCCCCTTCCTTGTTCAGCCCGTTGTTGCTGTGAGGGGGGCTTAGTGGGCGGCTGCCGGAGTGTGATGCTCCTTGGGACAGTCCTCTGTTCTTTTGTAGCCTTGTGCTCCTGCTGCTGTCCTCTCTAATTGTGCTGAACAACTTTTCCTTTTCCTTCTGTTTCGTTTTTCTCCCCCCTCTTCTCCTATCTGCTTGTCGTTTCCTGCCGACCTTTTGCTTGTTTTGGTTATTCCTTTGGACCTCTTCTATTTTGATGCCCAGGTGCTTGAGGAGGCATACTCTTGCACCCGTAGAACTGTAGTACGTCTCGTCTACCTAAAGGCACCCCTCGTCTCGAGCGAGGGGTACCTTTAGTCAATCTCCCTTTCGTCACTGAAGCCCATCTCGACGGACTGACGGTTCTTAAGGTGGTGGTATTCTTTTGTGGGGCGTAGCTTCTTGTTGGGTGTCCTACCTCTTAATTGTGGCTCCATGGTGGGTGTGGGGGCACATTCGTGAGTGAAAGTGGTTTCTTCTCGTATCTGTTGTTGAATGTCCCTCTTGTACCCTCTCAGGCTCGTGGGGTGGGCGACCAAGCCCCCGAGTCAGACTGTATTGGAAGACCAGGCTCTGTAGCCCCTGCTGCGTTGGGCCCCGACCTTGCTCCTCCTTTGGCCTCTGACTACTCCCATCGGCTCCCCTCCCTCTGTGGTTGGGTTGGGAGTCTTCTGTCCAACAGTGCGGCTTTCAGTAGCAATATTTTAACCAGATAGGGTTTGTTTTGGGGTGCCTCCCTTTCTGGGAGGGACTCCCATTGGCTCCCCAAGCCCCCAGTGGTGACTACCTTGTCCCCTGGCACGGCTCTGTCCCTAGTTAACTACTGTGCCTTTTAACCACACTCTGGGGGTACTCAACGCCGTCCTCGATACGGCCGCACTGTCTCGATTCCTTCCCATTCTGATGCCTATCAAGCCTCGTTCGGTCCTGCTTCGTGGGCCAAATACTTTGCTCTCCTCCTCTTGATTCTACGCCTCCTGGCGATTTCTCCCTTCATAGGCACCTTGTTGATTCCGTGGATGCCTCTGTCACCTTCAACTCCACCCGTCTCGGTACACGTGTCGTTGCTGTTCCTTCTCGGGATGCGGCCTCCCGATTGGCTGCTTTATCCTGCCTTGGCGAGATAAAGCAAAGGTCTCAAAAGCGTTCGGGTCTCAAAGAACGCTTGGTTGAATGCCAGTGTTGGCACTATTCTCCTCCCGCCTCATGTTGCAACCGGTGTTCGGAATCTGCAGGACTGCCACGATGATACCCGGCATATCCTTGAGGCCCAGGGCCATTCTGTCCTCCAGATATAAAAGTTTCCTCGTCCCCCGCGTGGTCGTCGCCGTCAACCCCTTCGGGTTGTGAAGATTACCTTTGATGGTAGGACCCTTCCACCCTCTGTCATTCTTGCTGGTGCCAGGTGCTCTGTCCAAGAGTACATTCCCTCTCCTCGGCTTTGTAACAAGTTCTGGAGGTTTGGGCATGGTGCCCTCCGCTGCTCTGGGACTGTCTGTTCTTTGTGTGGGGGCAAAGGTCACCAAGTCGGAGTGCACTTCTCCCCAGGCTTGCTGCCTCAACTGCGGTGAGGCCCATCCAACCTTCTCCCGTGCTTGTATCCATTACAAGCTTGAGGCAGCCGTCCTCAACTTGAAGCACCGGGAGCGTTTATCTTTATCTGAGGGGAGGCGCTAGGTTCGCCGGCTCCAGCCTTATGCTAATGTCTCTTATGCTCGCGTGTTGTGCTCTTCCTCTCCTCGTCCTTCCCACCTTCCTCACTCGCAACCGTTTCTGGGCCTTTGACCCTGATACGCCCACTGCCCCCTCCTCTGTTCCTTTGAGTTCTGTCCCGAAGGGTCCCCCTCCTGGTCCTCTGCCTGGGGTTCCCCTTCTTTCTATCCGGTCTGTCATGTCTCCTGTGTCTTCTTCCTCGTCTCCCTACGATCCTCCTTCCCATCCTTCTCCTTCGTCTGTTGACTCTCCCCGCCGCCTGTCGGTGTGGGCTGATGTTCATCGCTCTCCTAACGGTCGTCGTGTGTGCTATCGTGAAGCTGCTTCTGTTGAGACGCTAGAATCCGTTGCCCAGTACGTAGTTGCTGGGATACCTGTCTCTTTAAGTCAGAAGCGTAAGCCTGGTTCCTCTCCTTCCTCCTCCCCGGCGGGTAAGAAGGCTTCGCTTTCTTCCTCGGGCCCTACTTCTGACTATCGCCCCCTTCCCCTCCCATTTCGGTGGTTGCGCCCCCTGTTCCTGCTATGGAGGTATCTTTGGCCCCCCGCTTCCCTCTCGGTTGCTGCCCTTGCTGAGGTGCGCTCCCCTCTTTTACTCCCTCTTCTTACTGCTGTCCTTGATTACTACTCTCGGTTGCCGCCTCCTCCGGACGCCGCCTGTCCACCTCTGGTCTGTGCTCAGAAGGTGTGTCCCAGGGCACACCTTCTGAGCACTGTTATTCTGGTTGCCCTCAATGGTCTTCTTTCCTCTCTTCCTTCAGGCGTTTTCTCCGCTCTCTATGTTGATGATCTTGCCCTTTGATGTCGGTGATGATTCGCCTCTCCTTCAACGCCGGCTTCAACTTGCGATTGATGCCGTGTAGTCTTGGGCCACCGATCATGGCTTCAAATTCTATTACCAAGGCTTGTGCCATGACTTTTACTTGGAAACGGGTCGTTCTTCGTCCCTCTTTGTCACTTTATAGTCATCCCCTTGAGTACAAAGATTCCACGAAGCTTTTGGGGTTATTATTTGACACTCGTTTGTCCTGGTCTCCCCATATCTCTTACCTCCGTGTTGAGTGCTCTAAGGCCCTTACCCTCCTTCGGGTATTGTCCCATGCGTCTTGGGGAGGGGATAGGCGCGCACTCCTTGCTTTACATTCCTCTCTCATCCTGTCTAAGCTCGAGTATGGTTGTCCTGCTTACTAGTCTGTTTCTCCTTCCACTCTTCTCCGTCTTGATGCTTTGCACCATACTAGGTTGCGTCTCGGTTCTGGTGCCTTACGTTCGACTCCCGTCCTCAGCTTGTATGTTGACACTGGCTTCCTATCTGTTCAGGACCGCCGTGATCGCTACTGTCTTCGCTTTCTAGCACGATCCTTGCAACATCCTTCCTCTTTCCTCTGTCGTGCTTTATCCTTTTACCACTCCTGCGGTTCATGTTCCTCTTCACCGCCTCCCTCTTTCTGTCAGGTTATCTCGCTTGCAGGATTCTTTCCTTTATTTCTAATATTTTTCCTCGTGTAGTCCCTTCTTTTCCTCTCGTGGAGAGAAAAAAGTTTTGTACATCCTTGACGCGTATCCCTAAAGCTTTTGCCCCTCCTACGGTTCTAAAACGCCCTTTCCTTGAGCCCTTTTCTTCTCGCTCCCACTGTTTCCATCTTCACTGATGGGTCTAAGTCTGCGGACGGTGTTGGCTACTGTTTTCTTCCTGATCACACTTGTGTGTCGCTTGCCTCTGGAGACTAGCATCTTCACAGCGGAGCTTTATGCTATTCTCTCTGCTCTTCGTCTCCTGCTCTCTCGTTGTCAATCTTCCTTTGTAGTTGTTCTTGACTCTGGTAGTGCCCTCATGGCTCTTGGGTCCTTTAATCCGGTTCATCCAGTGGTTGTCGAGATCCAGCATTGGCTGTTCCTTGTTCACGATAAATTTAAGTCGGTTGAGGTTAGTTGGATTCCCAGCCATATTGGTCTCTTTAAATGAGCGTGTGGATGCTGCCGCCTGTTACTGGTAACAAACTACGTTCTCTTAAAAGTTGTCCTCGTGGCCGTCCTCCTACCACAGTAACCGGTGATGGGGAAACGGCTCTGGCGGGGATGCGTGTTGGCCATACTCGCTTAACTCGTGGTCACTTGGAGCGCCGCCCTGCTCCTTATTGTCCTAATTGCATTGTCCCTCTTACGGTTATGTATATCCTTGTTGAATGTCCTGACTTCCAGGACGAGCGTGTCTTGTGTTCTGACCGTCCCCCGCGGTTGCTTTCTCGATAGTATTCTTGGTGACTTGGATACTTTCGATATCGTTCGTCTTATGCGTTTCTGTTCTTAATTGATGGGCCTCGACTCAACCTTGTCATGTAGCCATTTTGTTCCCCCTGGTGAACCTTATCCCCAAGAGCAGTTTTCTTAATGTGTTTTTTAATTGCCATGGATACTGTCACGCATCCCTACTTGATTTTTAATGGATTTTTAATTTTAACCTGTTCTCGTATTGGCGTCCTTGGTGATATTTAGCGCCCTCTGATTATCCCGCACATTTGATGGTGCTACATAACCATCTTGGTCTGGTGCCTTTTTGATAATTGCTTAACATTTGCAGTTGTTGCAACCAAGGGAGAAAATTATTCTTCCCTTGGTAAATTTTCTTTTTCTTTCCTTGGTAAATTGATCTGTTAAATAAGACGCGCGTTGAAAATGTAGCTCATCTGATACTGCTAAGCAAAATTGAAGACAATTACATGTAATTGTAGTTGCAAATGGTAATTTCAAAAGTGAAAACGAAGATTCCAGAATTTTACCCAAACTAACCTCTTCTAAAAAAAATAGGTGGATATTTAAAATGTTTTAATACGGTTTATTGGTAGACAAAAGTGTAATAAATTTGTATGCATCTAAAGTTTAAATTACTTTATAAGTAAATTTAAAAAAAAAGTAATTTTTTCCGCATCTGGCCCAAATTCACCTAGACATAAAAATTACTAAACGTTATGGTGTTCTGTTAAAAGCAATGCCAATAATGTAACTGCCAAAATAACACATTACAATAACCAATCGCAATAACCAATCACAATAACCAATCGCAATAACCAATCACAATAAGTCTAACAATGTTACTCGTATATTGTTCATATATATTTTTTTTACATTTGTGTAAAGATTTGGGTTATGGTTATTTATGACTATATATTCATAACGGTCACAACTAACACTTGTCATGTTACTTTAAAATACCATGACGATGAGATAATATACCATAACAATAACATGCGATGTTATTACCGTTTTTGACATGCTAAAACAAAAACGTATGGTAACTTGACATCCCATAATATAACATTGCAATAAGTTATATAATCATAATATTGCTGTTATTCTGTTATTAACAACAAATTCATTTTGTTAATGTTA